GGTCGCTCCACCCCCACCCGCCCACCTCTGCGCATTGCACGCTTGCAATGTGCCCGCCCCGCGTCAGGTCCAGCCAGTTAGCCTCATAAAGCTTAGGGCCTGCAGGTGGGCAGGAGGGGGCAGGGAGCCGGGCGGGCGGGGCGTGGTGCTGGCGCGGCGGGCGTGGACAGGGCGGGCGCGCGGGTAAGGCCGGAGGCGCGGCCAGGGGCAGGCTCCCAGCCACCCCAAACCCCAGCGCAGCCCCGGCTTCGCTGCATGCCACCCGCTGCCCAGAAGCCCACCCCTACCACGGCATGCACAAATACACAAGCAAGCCCCGGCCCGCACCCTCCCAGCACCCCCCCAGCAACCCCCCAGCGCCGTGCCGCCGCCGCCAGCTTGCGCCCACCTATCAAGAAGTTGAGGTCCCCGATCAGCGAGTCCTCCCGCACCAGCGTGGCGGTCAGCCCCAGCTTGCAGTGCGCCTTGACGATGCCCAGCACCTTTCGGAACATGGCGGCGGGGACAACGTGCACCTGGGGGCGTGTGTGGGGGTGGGAGCCAGGTGTGGGCAGGGCAGAGAAGGGCAAGGAGGCGCGGTGGGGCAAGGGGAGGGCAGGGAAGCGTGGTGGGGGAAAGGGCAGGCGGCGGCACATGGCTGTGCTGTGCTGTGCTTACGCCGCGCACGCCTGCGCTGCGCAGCGCCTGCCTGCCTGCCGCTTCCGTCCCCTGCTGCCCGTGCACGCCCCGCCATGCGCAGCTCCCCACCACACACCCCGCCATGCGCCACGCGCCACCCTCACGCCCTGCTGCTCGCCTCGAGCCCACCCCATTCTACCCACCCCCCTGCCCCGCGCTCCTCACCTCATCCAGCAGCAGCAGGCCCCACTCCCTGCTCATGATCTGGCTCATGATGCGCTCGCCCTCGGTGCTGCACGGGAGGAAAGAAAGATAGAAGGGGGCAGGCGGGCGGTGAGCGGCAGGCGGGGCGGGCCGCGCGGGCAGGCTGGGCAGGCCGGGCACAGGGGCCCAGCCAACCTTATATGCCGCAGGCACGCAGGGGAGAGGCACGCCGCAGCAAGCCGGCCGGCCCCGGCGCTGGCTGGCGCGAGCTGGGAGGGTGGCGGGCGCTGGGCGGCGGCGCGGCACCCAGGCCCCCCACCTGCGCCGCCCCGTGAACGCCACCATTGTGTATGTGGTGATGCAGACGCCGGTGGGCCCCTCAAACCACTCCCGTGTCTGGCTGGTGAAGCGGCACACCTGGTCCTTCTGCGGTACGGGTGAAGAAGGCAGAGAGGGGGCATGCAGGTGTACATGGGTGCAGCACGGCACAGCTTGCCCAGCGGTCCGTTCGGCGTGGGCAGAGGGGCAGGGCCGCGGGGGTGTGCCGCAGGCACCACACGCAATCGTCCACAGCAGGCACGCCCTGCTGTACCGAATGTGTGTACCGCATGCATATACCGCCTCCCGTACCGCCCTGTACCGCCCCGTACCACACCGGCACGTTGGTCCACATCTCGAACTGGTACTTCCACTGGTCCACGCTCACGCCGTTGGTGCACAGGCACAGGCAGCCCTTCTTGATGCGCGCCGCCGCCGACACCCCCACCAGGCTCTTCCCCGCGCCGCACGGCAGCACGATGATGCCGGAGCGCGCGCGCCCGTTGCCAAACATCTTGGACAGGCTCTTCTCCTGGTAGGGGCGGTGCTGCAAGCAGGCGGCGGGCGCGGGGGGAGGGCGGGGGCGGCCGCGCGCATGGGGGGCTGTGCCGCGGGGCGAGGCGCATGCTGCTTGTGAAACGGGAAAGGAGTGCCGCGCGCGCGGGCAACGGCGCTACCTGCCACTCCTTCCCACCCCCCACCACACCAGCACACCCCCTACAAAAAATACGCCGGCCTCCCCC